TAATCTCTATGGTATATGTGTCATGCCTGCTATATAAACATTAAATTATGCAGCTATATATATATATATATATACATGTAGTAGGTTATGAGGCTTCATATAAAGCACAAGCTACATTAAAATGATTGAGTGTTACTGGTTATACAGCTGCTGTTATTTGCTTAGTAATCAAATAAGCTTAAAAATTAACCTACACAATAGAGAATGATGCATTTAGTAATATTGCCCAGGTTTTATTACAATACTCACAGCCATTTGTGCTGTATGCTGGCAGAACAATATTATATAATAATAAAGAACAACAAATGAGCAATCCTATTATGAACCACTACCTTAATTCATGATAAATATTTTACCTAGAATTTAAGTTATTATGTTAATTTTAACCAGTATCAAGATAAATCCTTTGTTTTTAAATATGGGCTGCAAAGTAATTTTTAATTTTTTTAAAAGAGGTTACTGTTGTCCAGACTACTTCATTTGTCCAATGCACAGTATTTAGTATATTCTATTTAGTTTATATGATATACATTTTTTAAGCATCTCCTCCTTTGATCCATTTTGTCATGAAATGTGTGTTATAAAAATGGTTCATAAAGTAATTGATAATAGGTACTTTGTCACAGAGTCATTTCAGATCAGGGATTCCTTATATCTTGTAACTTCCTTGACTTTAACAGTACAAATTTACATAATAAAATATATTTCCTGAGCCAGCATTTGGACCTCTGTCAATAAGTGCATCTTATTGTCTGCATCATTTCTTCCTTTTATTTTGTAATATTATCTGATGGTTTCTCAAGCCCTGTTTTTATCTGTCCTCTCTTCCAAGACCTTTTCTTTCTGGCGCACTGTGTTTTAAGTGAAATTGTTTTTGTTTTGTTCTTGAAGATCTGCAAGAGTTTTCATTGTACTTTTAAGTGTTATGAAGTATGTTTGATCTGCAGTAATTACTACTTACATTGAACCACTCACAACCATAATACTTGTATTTTGAGAAGAAAAAGTTACATTCAAAATATACTTTCATACTTGTGTTTTACTAGAATTTAACAAAATATTTGTATCAGATTCATACATTCTAAAAGTTAATACGATTGCTACATTGATAAGATATGTACACTTGCCTTCTAGTATGAAATATCTCTATAGCTAAATAAGACATGATAAATCACATTGTAGTTATTTTAGTATGTTAAGTTCTTTTTTACATAGATTTAAAAACATATAATACCTTATAATTAACTACTTTGTGTCTTATGGTTGTTATTATTATTATCGTTTCTGTTGTTTTTAGGAGTTTGATTTCAAAGTGAGATGGCCAGCGGTTAAGTTATTCACTGGTTTACTGGAGTGTCGGCCTAAAGAACTTCAGGAGTGTGTCCTTGTCAGTCCCATGGGAGTTTCTCGATTAATGGACCTTCTGTCTGATAGCCGTGAAGTTATTAGAAATGATGTAAGCATTACTGCTCTATCTACTGTAATAGGTAGTTTAAAATATCTTTTTGCCCGTTTCTCTCACTCACACAAACAAGTCTTGTCACTCAATGCATGTATACCATTGTTGTACTAAAATCAACAAGCAGTATTTGAAGACAGATTAGATTTAGAAGACAGTTTCAGTTGTAAATAGTTGATTTCAAATTAAATTATTTTAAAAGTTATATTTGACTATAAAAAAGTAAGATTTTGTACACTAACGATGATTGGGCATGATATATTTATATATATATATATATATATATA